GAGGCTCCACTAGGACCCCCCCCCCCGTAAGGCTGTCAGTTGTTCGGGTAGCTGTTTGAGAGTGTGTGTGATTTCATATTAACACAAACTTGCATGCACTGAATTATGCTGTTGGATCACAGGGATCCATTGTGCTTTCGTAGAAACATGCGCAACCGACTGCGTGATGTTTGACCCAAAGTTGGAACAAAGGTGCCTGGTGGGCGTGAAGGCATGTGACAGCCTCAGCTGATCCCAGCAGATGTGTGGCAGAGTTCAGGTGGTTAGTTTTAGCAGATTTCTTCCAGGGAGAACCAGAAAGAACAGCACTGTTAACATCCCTTGGGTAGGTGTCTCAATTGGATCCAGTCTCTTGTCAGGATGTGTAACAACAGTTCTCTTTCTCTCTTTGGCTCAAACTCACTCGTGGATATCTCCCCCTCTCACTTTCTCCTTCCCCCCTCTCTTCTACCCCCATCAGCTCATCTGATAGGCCTCTAACAGTCTCAAATGGTTCCCAGGAGATGCATCATCTCTGTACACACACACATCCCGGTCCTCATTGATAGGTCGGACCGTTTCCTCTCTGATTTATAACTCGCATGGCCTTCTAAGCTGAGACAGACATCTGGCACGAAAACAGTCGGCCCCTCTATACCGGCACTTAGTCTTCATTCAGAGAGTTTCCATTTTTGTTTAAACGGTGGCACAAAACTGAATTCCTGCCAGGATGGAGGGATTTTCACAGGGCCAGTTGTGGTATTACAGCTAAGTAGGTTGAAGTTGGCTGAAATCAGCTGCCTGGTGCTCGGCGTGGACAGTATCTCAAACACACAAGGTAGCAATAACAGAGGAAGGACATATACAGAAACAAACAGTTAGTGTGATGTGATTATTGTGTCCAGTACCCTTACACCCTCAATATCTAGTCCACAGGATCATTTTCTAGGGATGCTCTTTAAGAATAATGTGATGCTCTGTTGACTATGTAGTCAGATGTAAAAACGAGAGCCAATCAGAGCCGTCAGTTTGCTGCTGTGTGAAGAGGTTTTATATGTAGTTTTATGTTTTGTGACTGCGTCAGTGCCACCTCACACACACAGGGACACAGTACAACTTAACAGTGTTATGTATTGTTTCATTGCTCCGTATAGGCCATAATCACCCTCTCTACATCTCAGTGAGCTCATGCTAAATGACCAGACGTCTCTGGTGGCTGCCATGATTTGTCTCTCCGCCGTGCATGCCGCCATACCTTACCCTCCCTGCCTCTCTCCTCCCTCCTTCCCTGCTGCCATATGTTGTGCCTGTGTGACCGGCCGATGTGTCAGGCCTGACTAACACCTGAGCACCATGGCTGACTTTGATTTATTTCCTCTGAAATCTGGGGGCCGTGGGTAATAACACAGAATGACATTATTTGTTTATCAAATCCAAGGCTGCTTTTCTTGTTCAGACTTGAGATGTGACGGCTTGATACAGCCATTCCTACTTGCTGCACATACATTTACCCCCCACAATTTCTGATTGTGCCACAATTGTGCCAATATAAGAAGGTCTGGCGAGCTTAACCTCATCGCAGGGAATGCTTTTGAAATTTCGACAGAGCAGAGAGCAGACACAAAATATAAAAGCTGAGATGAAGCAATGCAATTAAATTGTCAAGGCGCAGATTTAACCCCACCATGCAATTTGGGGGCCAATTTATTACGAATATTTTCTGTCTGAAGTGCTCGCCATTCCTCTATTTGCAGAGAGAGTGAGTGAAAGAGAGTGACAATAAACAGTACTTTAAATACCAGCTTACCCATTTAAACAGATATATCTTTCCACATCCAGAGTGTCTCCCACTTGTTCTGCCTCTCATTTGAAGATAACAGCAGGGCTGTTAATCTGCTGAAACCTCATCTTGGTCTTATTCAGCGATCAGGTCTATCATTCTGGCACTTTCACAACACATTTGGTTCCTTTTAACATGTAAATGATGCATTGCCCCGAAAAGCTCGTTAAAATTTCATCCCTGGCACATTTGCTCAGGAGCTTGGATTCCTCAAGAAGCAATTAGCAGATTTAATTTGGCCATTTGCCCCAGTGTTCAGTAGTGAGTGTTTGTTTAAAACAGCACCTTCACCTTCCGTTATCAGCTGTGTGAATAGTATCTGCTGGAACACAATGCTGTGCTATGGAACTCAATAAAAGTGTTGAAGGCAAGGGCAATCTCAAAGACAGGCTGGCTGATAACAAAGGGGCCTCAACTAATAATGAACAACTGGAGTTGCCTTTTTTTTCTCCGACGTGGGGAAGCTGGGGTGAAGGAGGGGAGAGAGAAGCTCTGCCAGCACTTGCCAGCATGTTTTATGGCTAATTGAAGCATTTGGAATAAAGCAGGCTCAAAATGGCACCCTTTAGAATTGGAGCGGGGTTAATATATTGTGATCCCACAATTAGCCCAGGATTGTTAAGATCTCTTTAATTCGGTGAGGTCCATTAAGCGGGATGGGCGAGAAAGTGCTCCCGCCGAGACAATTTTTCTCTTCTCTCTTTGTTCTTCCTGCCCTCTTTTCCTCTCAGCAGCTGCTGTACTAATCAATATAAGTGGACATGGCAACGAGCAGGTTGCCAGGTTATCCTGCCGTCACCCCCTTTGGGGGCTATAGCTCCTGAAGTCCACCCACACACAGATTTTGTTTATAAATAAACAAGGGGCAAGTGAGTCATTGGCAGTAGATTGACTTTGGTGTGGATACTCCACAAGGTGTGGCCCATCAGTTGGCTCACCCTCCTGTGCAGGAGTAATAGATCATGCTCCCTCCGGAGTAGAAATGATCACTGAGGTTTGCTCTTTACCCGAGTTTCTCAAATCCCCACTTGGCCTATGAGTGCCTCCACTAGATCCACAGCAGCGGCTGCAGCATGATCGTCACAACTCAGGGTTTTACAAGAGTCTCTTTCAGAATATGAGAGTCCCTTCTGGGTTATCTTCAGGGATACAGTGTGCCGCTGGGAGCTTGCCAATTGGTGGAGGTTTTTGAAACAAGATTGAAATCACTACATTTCAGCCACAGCCTCAGAAATTCCCCCAAACCTCTTCGAACCATGTCATAATGAAGCTCGCACAGCCCCCGCTCAACTTTTAATGCAACTACTGACTCACAGTGGCAAAGGCTATAGTTTCTACTGAGTGTACAGTCTTGAACCTACTGGAGAGGGTGAATAAAGCCACAATTAAATACAGCATTGCTTGACTGGTTGGTTAGCTTGCACCTTAATACATTTCTGGCTTATTAAAGACTCATTTGTAATAATCTAAAATGATCCCACTTTCAATTTCTCCTGTGAGGATGTGTATGTTTGGGCTGAGAAAAGGCTCTGGATTTATCAGCAGTTAATACCTACCTGCTTAGCGCTCAGGTAATAACTTGGGATGCTGGAAAATGGTGAACATTTCGGTAGCACGGGGTTCCAGCACAGTGGATTTGAAGCTCCTTGCAAGTAATTAAACAGCATGCCACCTCATACAGAGCAATTTCCTGCAAGGCATTTGCTTGCCAATCTGGCACAGCCCCCAGTCTATGTTGTGTTATCTCAGTGAAATATGTCCACTTTATCATTTTTTAATAATGACTGAGTGCTCATGTTGTTAGGAGAAATCTGCTCAATGAGGATCAGATTAATTTTTTCCTCATTGTTAGCTAGCTACCTGCGCGTCCAAGATGTCAATGTGTAAAAAATGTAAAATGGCCACCATGTCATTGGCGAATCGGCAGCTGTGCCATCCGCGGTGGGTGTGTAATTGGGTAAAATCAGTGGGGTGGACGGACACAAGTGGGTGGGTAAATTTTGTGCATGTGGGATTCAAAATCTTAGAGAAGCCGCGCTGGTATCTGAGAGATTGGGGGCCACCTCAGCATAATGATGACCGCACTCCGTTGGCGAGCGATGATAATCCTGTCGTGTGCATAAAGGGATTTGTTGGTGTTGGACCAGCCACAGAACATCCCACGGTGCCGACGCTGTTTATCTTTCCTCTGTCTTATAGTCCCCTGGGCTTTTATGGCCCTGGAACTTACAGTTCCTGTTGTCACTTGTCACAAGTTGTCATTCGTCTGTGCAAAGGCCCACACACACACACTCACACACAAACCCATTGTCAGGAAAGCTGCAACCCCCTCAGTCTTAATATCTGTCTACTTTTCTCTCCTTACATGCATAGTTATTATCCACAGCAAAACTCCCATGTCAATAGCTGGCATCTCCCATCTTTCATCCCTCACTCTCACTATCCATCTCTATATGTACATCTCTCCCTCTCTTTATTTCTCTCACACACACACTTATAATTTCAATCATTAAACCGCCAGCTGCAGCAAGAAAACAACTCCTCCGGTACGTCAAAGAGGAGCTGAGTGGCAAGAACAAGCTTTATTTTTCTTGAAATGTTGATGGAACCTCCCGACTGTTGTGAGCATCAACTGTCATGCCGACATTTCAAATGTTTCACATTTTGTCAGCATTAGTGGGTGGTAATTCTACTTATCTGAGGATTGCTTGTGCACATCTTCTCAGCAAGTCGATCGTCATAAAAAAGGAGAGTCAACTTCCAGTTGTCGTTTCCTTTACCCCCAAACAAACCCCTCTGTATACCACAACACACCCCAATCCACTCCTGTCCTCCCTGGATACTTGCTACTTGTCAGCCCTGGTAATGGGTTTCTTGGGGTAGATATTATTTTGGTCCAGTAAGCTGCGTGTTTAAAATATGAGTGACAGGCTTGACTCACTTGCGCGCGGAGTGAATTTTGTTTTTAAAAAGACTGCCAGAATAGAGCCAGCTCAGCTGCAAAAAAAAAAAAAACTCTTCCCACTCTATTAGCAATGCAAGCCTGCATGCAACCACCCACTATCTTTACTTACCCCAAGAAAAAAAAAGGAGAGATGCAACTTCCCCTGAATAAAATGTCCTATTTTTCCTGTCTCTCTGTTTTTCTGTCTCTGTCTTCCCCCTTTTTTACCCTCCTAAGAAGATAGATGAAGAAAATGAGGCCAACTTGCTGGCAGTGCTTACAGAGACCCTGGACAGCATCCCGGTGGATGAGGACGGATTGCCTTCGTTTGAGGCCCTGGCAGATGGGGACGTGACCAATGCCAGTGACCGGAGCTGTCCCTCCTCCCCCGACGGCTCGCCGCGCACCCCAGAGCCTGAGGAGCCTTCCCTGGTATGACCAGCAGCTCCTCTTTCTCATTATTCTCCAAGTCACTAGTCCAGCATCAAAACTGACACCTGACCTCCCACCATGCAAACACTGTTTATTTAGTCCAGTCCATGGAAGACACCAGATAACACCCTTCAACAAAGCTGGGCACCAACACTGGCAGTTTTGAATTCTGCTTTTGGCAGTGCCTAGTCCATACTCCGCCACATTTGTCACAATGTGCTCACTATATGTGCAGCGAGAGCATGCGGATGCAGGGAGTTAATGAAATGGATCAGTGTGTTTGCTATTGAGCACTAATTACGTAACGGCACTATTGTGGCACCGGTTCACTAATATGAACGCTGTGGTGGGACGGTGCCACAGGCCCAGAAATCAAGCTGGTACACAATAAAGGGGTGAGGAAAAGAAAGTGATCTGATCTCATCTACTCTCAGTAGGTATCAACTAATCCCCCTGTGACCAAGTCATCACTTTTGGCAAAAAGACAGGCCTCTCAAAAAAAAAGGAAAAAAGAAGCCGTTTGGTTACCTTTGTGCTGTCTTGTTTATTTTTACACAGAACCACATCATCTGGGCGTTTCTCCAGCTTGAAGGCTTTGACCTAAAATGTTTTGTTATGTTCCGTTATCGTCCATTTTATTCCATGCCGGTCCCTTCCAGATGACCTTTAAGCCACATACCCGAGTGTGTTTATTCAATCACATTTGAGAGGACTGACTGTGTGCACAAAAACACCTGCACAGGAAGGAAGAAAAAAAACGATTTAAACTGCCCTGTCACATATTAAAAAATTGCTTAAAAATCTGTAATCTTCTAAATGTGTGAGTGATAGTATCTTTTCTAACTGTGGTCTCTTCTGGTGCTATTTTACAAGAGCGCAGGCTGTCTAATTGAAAGAAAATGGGGATTTGCATAACCCACGCTCGCTCTCCCCCACTGCTCCCTCACCACTTTCTCTTGTTCTGTTTGGGTCCGCTTGCAGCTGAAGAAGCTCCTTCTGGCGCCTGCAAACTCCCAGCTCAGCTATAATCAATACACAGGTGGCAAGGCACAGAACCATGCAGCCAGCAGCAACCACCGGATCAGACCACCACCTGCCGTCGTCAAGGTAGGGACACACAAACGCACACACCCACGCGCATACAAACACATGCACTGCTTTGCTGCTTATTTCACTCATGTACACACATTTTTTTTGTTTATCTCCCTCACTCCATTATTCCTCTCTCCTCTCCGGTTTCTTGCTCTCCCTCTCCTCTCTTCTTGTTTTGGTGGCCGCCTTTGGAAGATGTTAGACTACTGCTCCAGTCGACTCTCCCAGGGGGCCGCCCTGTAATGAAAACAGGCTGATTGCTGTTGGGCTTTCAAGGCGATGCTTCGGCACCATTGTCTCATTAGCTCCACCATTTATCCAGCCCTGGTATGGTGCCTATTAGAAAAAAATCAGCGTCAGGCACTCTAGTGGCAAGATTGACGCCTTCAGATGACAAGATCAAAATATTATATTCCCATTAGATGGCTCTCAAAGGAGCCTTTTTCTCTTAAGGGGTACGGTTGGTTAAGATTAGATCAAGTCAGTGTAAGTATCTTAGGTTTATTAATATAAAGAAATAAAAGTAAAAAGGATTTGATTCCAGTTGTTGTAACAATCTTGTTAGGTTTCATGTCTAAACTTGTCATACCATATGTTCAGTGCCATTTGCAAACTGATCATTTTTGTTTTCCCCAGCGCATAAAACCCTCAGATTTTAAAAAGCTTCTGTATGATAATATTGTGTGGTAAACACAGACACAGACTTTGTGTAGTGTGCGTACTATGTTTGCACATGTAGTGCGACAACCTACCTCACAGAGTCTATTTTCATACCGTGCCTTTGAGTCATCCATTTCTGGAGCACGGCGAATGAGGGCTCCCGGAGGACATGGTGTGCGTACAGAGTGGTGCGGTGGTGCTCGGAGGGCCACGCAATTAAGATGATGGGCGGACCGCACTCCCACCATCGCCTCCCAGACAGTTGGGCAACCGCTGTGCTCAGGCTGCCTGAGTCACTCCTTTAGCCCTCTCTCTGGCTCCATCTCTGTCTCTCTGCTTTTATTTTTGTGCCAAATTAAAGCACAACATTTTCTTACTATTGGACCAACTGTACTTCTATCAACTTTTTTATTTCAGCAAACTTAATACTCTTTTCTGTCTTTCTTTCTTGCTGTTTTGCGCAGACGGAGAGCCCCTGGAATGGCAAAGCGAGAGGGGGCTCCAGCACACAGAACCGCGCGGTGAGGCGGCCTTGCACTGAGCTGCTGAAATACCTTACGGCCACCGATGACATCCTGCTCCACACCAAAGCCAGTGAAGCCAAGAGCACCTGGGGTGGTGCCAGTGGCAGAGACAAGAGTGGCCTGGGTCTTGGCGCCTCTTCCTCCTCCTCTTCGCCGTCCTCATCATCCACCTCCTCGTTCTCCTCCCTGTCCTCCACCTCTTCGTCTTCCTCCACCGCCTCCAAGAAGAAGTCAGCTGTGCCATCTCAACAGCAGCAGCAGCAGCAGCAGCAGCCGCAGCAGCATCACCAGCGAGGTGAGAGCCGGGCTGCAGGCGAGTGTAGTGTGGCTGGTGTTGGGGCTGGGAAGTGGCAGCGTTGCACTCACGATGGCGGTGTTGAGGAGTCGGAGGGTGCCTCTATCCCTGTCGGCCACAGAACCTCCACCTGCGGCCATGCCTGCCCC